TACACGAGCTGGAGCGAGCCTTCGAGAAGTCCCACTATCCGGACGTCTATAGCCGTGAGGAGTTGGCAATGAAGGTTAACTTGCCTGAAGTCCGTGTTCAGGTAAGGGCTATGTGATATTCTAATGGTATGAGGTGACGGTACAAAGCCATGGTAGTGGTATTGGTTACATGGAAACTGCAGCTTAAAGTTATGGCCAATTAGGCATAAAATTCGGAATCATTTTTAATTCAGCAGAACACAATTTATTCAACATTTTATCATAATTGTTTTCCATACTTTATGCTGCACCCAGCCATAAGAACAGTCTGTACACTTTTGGGACAAATAGGGTTTAACCTGGAACACTTCTCATAAAACCACTTTTCCAAAATTAGTTTCACTAAGTTTATCTAAATGTTACTTACGTGTATATATATTGTTATGACGAATGACTTTTGCTATTGTGTCCCCATGCCTTACTGCACCAATTCTTAATTAATGTATCTTTATCCAGGTGTGGTTCCAGAACCGAAGGGCCAAGTGGAGACGTCAAGAGAAGATGGACACTAGCACCATGAAGCTCCATGATTCCCCCATGTTATCCTTCAACCGTCCTCCGATGCCTCCTAGCGTGGGGCCAGGGGTCACCCCTATGCCCCTTGATCCCTGGCTGACCTCGCCCATGTCCAGTGCTACACCTATGCATACCATTCCAGGGTTCATGGGTTCACCGCAGGGCCTGCAGCAGGCCTATACGAGCCACGGCTATCTCAACACCCCGCCTGGCATGGTCCAAGGTATGCAGCCAATGGGCCCTCCTTCCTATCAGTGCCCGCCCAGCTTCAACGATAAATACCCGATGGAGGATGACAGGAGTTCGAGCATCGCAGCACTCAGGATGAAGGCCAAAGAGCACATTCAGTCAATGGATAAAACCTGGCAGCACATGTGATCTGATGAGCCACCGGGGAGGGATTTTTGAGCTGCTCCCATTAATGTTTACAAACTGCTTTTCCACTGTTTGTTAATATACCCATGACGAGGACACATGACATTTTTTGGCTGACGCTTGAAAATAAACTTCATGTGATTAAAAAAAAAAGATCACTTTAAATGTTTTAGCCCTCAGGAAAAAATGATCTCTGAGGGCCATTTATTTTGGTTCAGTTTTGGAATAGACTCTTATTTAGAGAAAATCCTCAAGATGAATGTGTTAAACACTTTTGTGTCAACGTTAAAACCCATAAGATTTGACAGAACTAGCTAATTTCAAAAAGCTTGTTTTTGTTGCTAAAAGGTAAGTTTGCTCAATTGATTTTGCTGATTCAATTATTTTTTTGTTAAAATACGTTCTGTTGTTGAATTTAAAAGTCATTCAAACAAATGTAAACATAAAATAATGTCAAATTGATTCAATTACTAGTAACATGTATTATGAAAGAATTTTTGCATGTCAGTAAATAAAACACAAACAAACTAGATTTAACTATCCTAATTTGGTCCTTTTTCAAAGTAATTTCATTATTGTTTTTGCAGTATGGTTTAGGATGAATGATGCAGTGTTCAGGATGCACTGAAGATCATCCAAGGAGAAGACATTTTTGTGGAAATGCAAATAAAAAGGCATAACTTTGTTACTGAGAAAAATAAAGGCCAAGTTGATTGATTTTCAAATGAGTAATACATTTATACGTAAACAGCCATTGTGACATATATGTAACATTTCAGATCTTTGGCTCTAGGGGTAGTATTTAGAAAATATTTTCAGAAATGTGTTCCATGCGGTCCATTTAGTCTGTTTTATATCCCCTATAATGTTCCTTTAAGGAAGAATTGGTTTGGGTTCTTATGGGTTAACTGAGTAAATTTCTGATAAATTTGAGACAGTCCTGGCAAACTGAAATATGAGAGGCTAAGAAGAGCCATGTGGTCAGAATACGGTCTTAAATCCTTTTTATTGGAAAGAAAGATATTTTCAAAAAATGTAATACTGACCCCAACTCTGTCTACATGAACCAGGGTGTAATCCCCTGAAGTGACAATATCTTCATGAGGTTTAATGAACATGGTGCTGTGCTTTGGGCATTTGCTGGTATCTAGATTGTCAGAACTAGACAATGTTAGTATACATTTGATTTGTGAAAAGAGGGTTTTCTCCCTTTGTCTCTTTTGTTGTTGTTTTATTTTCAATCATTTTTTCCCCCCTGAACAGTGTAGTTGTTGTTCAGAATTTTCTAGTATATTTTTGGGTCCTTTGTAAGCAAGTTTTAAATAAAAAAAAACATCTCCCACTTAAATTTAAGTTTGATTCGTTTCAAAAGTGATACGTGTCTTATTTAAATCATTAAACTGGCCTTTTGGAGAGCATTGAGTCCTGATGGTGGAGGTTATCGGAAGTCACAGAGAGTAATCTGGCTCGGAGGCTAATTTAAACAGACAAGCATACCTCTTAACACCTAATTACTGCTTTTAAAGCGATTAACCCCGGATTCTCAGCCACAGACAGAATGGCCTCAGCTGCCCCTGAAAAATCCTTTTCAAGACCTGCTTAAGTTTGCCCCTCCCCTCAAGCTTGAACATTTATACTATTTCTAATTTACATATACGGCACACCATATCAATGTTGTTTTCTATTATGCGCTGTCTTAATCTTCATCTTATTGGTAAAAGATGCTCCTTATTGCATCGTTGACTAAATATGCATTAAAGACAGGTGGATTAGGAGTTAGAAAGTTAATGGGTGCTGGCAGCCTCTCTAAACCTTGGAAGTAGCACAGTTTGATGTGTAGCTGTTGGAACCAGAAGCAAATGACATTTGTCAGAGGCATACGTTCATGAAAATATTGCTTGTGTGTTTCTACTGTATGTGTTTATTTGGTGTGTGTGCATTAAAATTATGCAGAAGGGTGCTAGGCTAGCAAAGTATATTTTCCAAATAACAGTTTCTATCTGGCTCCTGAAACACAGCAGAAACATCTCATTTAATGGAATCAAGGGAAGAGTAACTTGCGATGCATTTTACTGTCTTACAAAATAACGTGTCATTAAGTTAGTGCTATCAGTCCTGACCTAAATGTTTTACTGAATACTATGGCAATGCTTTGAGGGATAATGTGTCTGTCAATGGATGTCCCCTGTGGCATAAGGAAGTGTAAGGAATATTTACATCCCTTCAGAAAATGATCTGTATATCATGGCCTTTAGAAATGACAGCATCCACACTGTCAGCTGTATAGTCTTTTTGTTTATATTGTTACAATCCCTGTTGATAACAGTGGACGAAAAAGCCAAAGAAATAAAACAGAAATTTTCTAGAAAACACATAGATGTATAAATGTGTGAGGATGTTTATTATTTTAAAATATTTTTTTTCATAAAGTTTTCAGAATGTGATTTTTTTTTTTGTCCATGTAGAAAACAGAATAAAGTTACAGTAGCACCACTGTAGAAGCACTTTGATTGTGGATCTTGTTTTTTTATTCCTTCACATGCATTAGTGAGCTACCAACATGACTTTGTGTCGTTAATGAGCGCTTATGTACAATAGGCCATGTAAGCTGTGACAGAGAGAGTTGGCCTGATGGAGGCCTGTTGTGTTCGTCCAGGCCTGTGGAGCTTTGCCAAGCCGTTAGGCAGATGAAGCTCCACTCCATCAGGCCCATCCAGGGGTGTCAGGAGGCCCCGCCTGCTAGGCTGCAGAGACCACAAGGGCTCAAGTTCTAATTGCCCTCCATTAGCCTGTGTGGTTTAGCTGCTCCAATTTTGTTTTTGGATGCAGGTTTGTATAGATGTTTATTTTGCATCTGAGTACTTTGCAACAATGTGTTAGTAGGTACACAACCTAAAGTCAATACGCCCCATTTTTTTTAAAATGTTATCAATAAGATGCTTCTGTCAGATGCTTCACAGCTTCTATCTATTGTAAAATTGGTTTGAAGTTTGGGGTATGAAATTATTAGATACTGAAACAGTGGCTTTATGAGAGGTGTTCAAAGGAATGCAGATTCATAGGAATAATTTCCTCTTTTTTTCAAGTTCTTTCTCTCATTGCCCAGCTTCTAATTACTAACCTTAAGTTTTGCAGGTAGAGCATTGCTAAGTATTCATTCAATTTATATGCCTCAGCAGTTTGGCATAATACATCAGTGAAAAAAGGATGTAGATGAAAAGTGTTAAAATATGCTATATTTAGTGATAACCCTTTCTCATCACACCTTTGTCAGAAAAACTTAATGTAAAAAAAAACCCAGAATTTGCTGGAGAGGCCCTCAGAACGAGTGATTAATTGTGTTATTTTGCTTGGCCAAGCGTGACCTTCGCTGGGGCCCAGGCTCTAGTTAACAGGCTGACTAGCGGGACGTGGTCCACGGTGGAAATAATAAGGGAAAGGAGCGGAATTAATTGGGTTTGATTAAGAACACTTTTCAAAAAGACACCCATTTCCCCCGTTGACATAATTGTGGATCACTTAAAGGCGGGGGGGGGGGGGATTTTGATGGCTGGCGCCAGTTGCTCGTCATTGCGGCCAGCGTTGACTTTGGGAAGAAGTTTGGGAAAAAGTGAACACTGTCACTCAAAAACATGTCGCTCAAAAAATCCTGTCTGTCAGTGGGACAGACAGGATGGGATGGCAACAGAAACATGTTGGTCAACTTAACAACACTGTCCTCAGTAGATGTGATCTGTCCATATACAATAGTTTGAAGCCACCCAGCTGCATCAGGTCGTGTGCATACAGAACAGGCATGGACATCAATTGGTGCTATGTGGGTGATAGTGATGTATGTCAATGCATCAAGATTGAGCCAACTATGGTGACTATTTTATTTTCTACATTTTGTATTTGGCACCCTCTGCAGGAATGTTGAAATGAAGACAAGGTCGAAATGAGTGAAATACTCACTGATCCTGGATCGGGCTCCGGAGAGGACATAAGTTTCGTGGTCTACTGTGATTGGTCCAGACACACCGTCTCGTTGTCCAATGGCATGCATACATCTGTTCGCTGGAGCGACTCTAAAATATTCTCTCCTCTTCCTGCTTCGCAAGGAATTCAGTACTTTGCAAGGACGTTGTCAGCAGTGTAAAGTTGAGCAGAGATGGGGAAAATGCAAGCCTTGGGTGTAGTTGCGGTAATGTTAGCAGTGTACTCCGTTCACGCAAAAGTTTACTTCCGGGAGGAGTTTCTCGACGGTGGTAAGTTTGGAATAGAAATGTATAACACGAGCTGTGCATGAGGTTAACGTTGATGCATTGCATGTTAGCTTGACTGTTAGCCGTCATTTTGTCACAATTATCATCTTGAGTTTCTCTTGAAAGCCTGTTTGTTTTTGTTTTTCACCGTTTTCTTGTTCAATCGGTGATTCGGTGTAAAACGCGTCACATCTCCGTTTTCTAACTTTAACTGTGTTGGCAGCTGGCTTGCGTTAACTTTACCAAGGCCCCGAAGCTAGCACACGTAACACCGACATTGCTGTGGCCTAAGTTGCTGTATAAACGTTAGCTATTCATATATTTCTAAAATAATTGTTTAAACCTCTGAAAACTTGCTGGTCTTTCTCTGTGCAGATGAATGGAGAAGTCGCTGGTTGAATTCCAAACACAAATCTGACTATGGAGAGTGGAAACTAACAGCTGGCAACTTCTATGGAGATGCTGAGAAAGACAAAGGTAAACCTTGTGTGTTATCTACATGATTCTATTCATTTGCGTTGATCATGCTGTGTTCATTATGGCTAAAAAGATACCAAGGCACCTGTCATTAAAAATGTGTTTGAAAATGTATGTACGAGATCCAGTGTATGTTTAATTACCTTGTCGTCTCTGTGTTGTAGAACAGTTGTCACACTATAAGCCAAAGGGAACCTATTTTGTTTTTGTCTTGTTTGCAAGAACTTCCTTTTGCACTTTCTCTTCAGGTCTGCAAACCAGCCAGGATGCTCGCTTCTATGCGACCTCTGCCCGTTTTGAGCCTTTTAGCAACGAGGGCAAGCCTTTGGTCATTCAGTTCACAGTGAAGCACGAGCAAAAGATTGACTGTGGTGGCGGCTATGTGAAGGTCTTCCCTGCAGACTTGGATCAGACCGGCATGCATGGAGAATCCTCGTACTACGTCATGTTTGGTAAGTGATAATGTGCATGGTAATTAACAATTATAATGAAATGGTTACGATAACAGGATTTGGAACATAAATTTAATTACTTGTTTTTATTTATTCACCAAGGCCCTGATGTCTGTGGCTACAGCACGAAGAAAGTCCACGTCATCTTCAATTACAAGGGCAAGAATCACCTCATCAAGAAAGAGATTAAGTGCAAGGTAATTCTGGCATTTTAAATTTAGGGGGAAAAAATATAGTTAAAAAAACTCTACCAGTGGCTTGATCCAAACGATTGTTTTTTTTCTTCTAGGATGATGAGCTGACCCACATGTACACGCTGATCCTGAATCCAGATCAGACCTATGAGGTGAAGATTGACAACGAGAAGGTAGAATCTGGCAGTCTGGAGGATGACTGGGACTTCCTGCCACCCAAGACCATTAAGGACCCCGAAGCCAGTAAGCCAGAGGACTGGGATGATCGTGCCAAGATTGACGATGCTGATGACACCAAGCCTGAGGTACATAAGCTTACTGATATAAGTAATAAAATTAGTCAAATGCACCATTGTTCTGGTTTGCACTGACTGAGGATGCTGATATGGAGGTTAGGGTTTGTTTATAGGAAATGCCGACTGGAGGAGTGCTTTTCCATTTATTTCTCTCCAGGATTTTCACAGCAGTCTTGCGCTTTAAATTTACGTTCATAATTCTATTGGTTACATTTTTTTGTTCTTCTTTTAGAACTGGGATACGCCTGAAAACATTCCAGATCCTGATGCTAAAAAGCCTGAAGACTGGGATGAGGATATGGATGGAGAGTGGGAGCCACCCATGATCCCTAACCCAGAGTACAAGGTAGGCTAAAGTTAGATAGTCATGGCTTATGTTCTGTGTGATCTCCTCTACCTGAGAAATGGCTAATATTTCCTCAGCTTTTCCTTTGCTCCCTGATGAATACCTTTTTGTATTGCAGGGAGAATGGAAACCCAAACAGATTGATAACGCCAACTACAAAGGAGCCTGGGTGCATCCTGAGATTGATAATCCTGAATACAGTCCTGATTCAAACATCTACAAGTTTGACAACATTGCTGTTTTAGGTCTTGATCTTTGGCAGGTGAGAAAAAAATCATCTTTGATAGTAATGTTGTTGCCGTAGTGGTGCTTAAACTACAGTTTAACATGTTTTACTGATTTATCTCAGGTGAAATCTGGTACCATCTTTGACAACTTCCTTATCACAGACGATGTGAAGGAAGCGGAAGACATTACAATGGAGACATGGGGTGTGACAAAGGTGTGCTGGTGTTCTTTTTAAGCCACATTTTGTCATTTGCAGAACACACAGAGCAATTGCCAGTGAGACACTGAATAGATTAGGCGACATGGTTTGATTATCTAAACTTTCCCCACAGGAACCCGAGAGGAAAATGAAACAAGAGCAAGATGACTTGAAACGAAAGGAGGACGAGGAGAAGAACAAACAGCAAGACACCGAAGTTGATAATGATGAAGACGATGGCGATGGCGACGACGACGATGATGATGAAGACGTTGATGAGGAAGAAACAAAGGATGAAATGGAGGAGGCACTTTCAGAAATGGAAGACGAGGAAGCAAAGCTTAAAGATGAGCTTTGAGGAGGTGTGGCCAGAAATGTTGTCTGTCCCTCCTTTTTTAGAAACTGTCCTGTATTTCCCAGGGGTATTGTGGCTGCTGTGCATCCTTTCCCTGAGAGATTTCTGATTTGGACACAAACCAATTTGGGGGGCGGGGGGATTTTAAGTGGATTTTAATACAATTAGTTTGTCTTTATTTTTGGTCATGAAATTACCTTATTGCCCCTGAACTGCTAGGTTGATTCTAAGGTATTCTGCCTCTAAAGTCCATTCATCATTTTGTGATAACAGAGAATAGGGAGAAATTGACATCCAGTGTTTTCTTGAATTTCTCGATCTACACGTCTACTTTAGATGCAGATTTCGCTGCGCAGGTTGCACAGTCAACCAGAAGCTGTGATTGAAAAATTTGACATTTGCAGATAATAATAATTAGCCAGATTAGATTAGATTAGATTCATTGTTCCCAGGGGACAATACATCTTGGTGAAACAAGAAATGCACATAACTGAACATCTAAATTCATAATCTGTAAGATTTACACAAAATATCACCAAATACAGACAGAAATCCAGATTGTAGTGTAACTTATTTTGGTTGTCTGTAGCACTGACTATTTCTTTTCCACACTCTCAAGGCATAATTGAATGAAGTGTTTTAGATATAAATTAATCTTTATCTAAGTGCACAGTGAAATTGTTTTTCTACATTCAAATGACATGAATGTCTTCATGGTAATGTGATGGATCCTCCATTATCTCCAGAAAGTCTGGAGAAACAGATGGTGAGCCCCTGGTGTGACTCGTGACATCACGAAGGGTCACACACTTATTTTTATTGGACAGAATGTTATTGATACCAAAGTTTTTATTAAAAGATTATAACCTTATTGCCTGTTCATATTTCTTACTACATATGCACATTTTTGGTATTTTGTTAATATTACTATTATCTGACTTTACACCTGCTTAATGTTTTGCAGTGTTGGACAGAATTGAAAAAAACTAATTTGAGACTATTTTAGTTTTAAAATTTAAATTTGTTCCACTAGGAAAATAAATGAATGGGTAATGTTAAACCTTCAACTTCATGAAGGTGTGTGTGTTATGGGTTCACAAGTTAAGTTCTATTTCCTCTAAAGTATTTTCCAATTCAAAATTAGGATGGGGAGTTTCATAACTGACAAGTGGAGAGATCGCCATAGAGATTTGTTACACTCCAAACTCCATTTAAAAAGGTTTTCACATGTCATGTTGACCCAAACAACATACATTGCCATGTGACAAATGTGGAATAGTAACTGATGGTAACTTGATTTAGTTGATTTTGCAGACGGAATACCGAAACCCCTGATAAAGTGCTGTGTCTGTCCAATAGTATAGTTAAGCTTATACGTGTAAACAATTAGGAAATGGTACCACTTCTGAAATCTGATGGGATCTTTGTTGTTTCTCTGGGCCGGACTTCTCCTCTAAGGGGCCCTGGAGCAAAATGTAGATGTGACCCACATATTCATCGACCTGTATATGTTGTGTTGCCTCAAAGCAAACAGCAGATGGCAACTATATCATATTTTGCCAAGAGCCACAAAAAACCAACCAGTCCTGCTGCTGAAACACTCCCAACTCCAGGTTTACTACATGAGTGAATGGGATGGGCGATAGAAGTGTACGACCTTTACATCTACTTTATCAACTTTGTTGACGCTGTGAGTTTATGAAAGGGACAATCTATGTTTCCCATCTGTAATCCGTCTCAGCGTCAGTAGGTGGTGCGTTCATAGCGGTTCATAGGTCAGCCATTGTCACTGGTGTAGTGACCGAGAACGGTTCACCGGAACCAGGGGCCCTCCGGTCTGTCGCCGCTCGTGCCCGCTCGGTTAAGGGGCGGTTGCGCATTCCCGAGACACCAGGAAATATGGCGGCGCTCATGACTCTCAGTCAGGTAACAACTCTCAATAGCTCAAGAAAAGTGTCAAATGTACTTATTGATCAATACCAAGTGACAGTGACAGTCGGTGTGTGGCCTAACCACATTACTACTTTATAATCTGTGGTGAATATTGTCCCGTGGAACCGTATTAGCAACCTTTCGTTGTCAACTAAGTTAACACGGTTAGCTAGGTTAAGTAAGGATAGCAGTCCTGTACGTTTTACTTGAGTAGGGAAGCTAACGTTAACGTTACTAGGGAAGTAATAAGGTTTTGGTCGAGGATGGTGCCGATCAAGATAAAACGTGGCTAACTAGTAGCTAGAACAAACCTTTAGTCAGTTAAGTTAGTCAGCTAACGTTAGCGAACAAAGCTGTGTTTAACTGAATGATCTAACTAGCTACAGTATGCTAACGTTATAACTATGTTTTGTAGCTTCTGAACAACTTAATGTGATGTATGTGTTAGCTGACAGTCTCATTTACTACTCAGCGGGTGTTATATTTCTCTCCTGTCTGCTTCTCCAGTTATCAAGTGGGAACCCAGCCTATGAGAGCTACTACAGACAGGTAAGGTCCGGGGTCACTGCTTTGATTTCTACTTCAGAGCTTCTAGTCTTCATTCAGCTGAATGGGATCCGTCATATGAAATCAATTGATGAATACAGTGATGTCTGGTGTGTCCACTTAGTATTTCTTTATTTGTTCTTTGTAGCTGGATCCAGGAAACACAGGCAGAATATCAGCTGGAGATGCGGCTCAGTTCCTTAAGAAGTCAGGGCTGTCAGACAGTACATTGGGGAAGGTGGGTCACAAAACCGCCTACATGTACATGTAATAGAAATGTAAACAATAGCATCTAAACTGTTTTTTTTTTGTGTCTTATTTTTAGATTTGGGATTTGGCAGATTCAGAAAGAAAAGGCTATTTGGATAGACGGGTACACCTGCATTCCTCTTGGATTTAGCTGTGATCGGTGATGCTGATGTGTGCATAAAACACCGGATTTGACTTGTATTTCTTCCTCTTTCATAGGGTTTCTTCATTGCTGTGAGACTTGTGGCCTCAGCACAGAGTGGAAATGATATCAGCCTTCACAATCTCAACCAACACTTAGCTGCACCCAAATTTGTAAGTCTCTCGTAAGACTCTACTGACAATCACAATATCCAATGATCTGGTAGGGAACACACTGAGCAGGGAAAAGCTACTTTTATTGGTCATGTGAGAAATGAATGGACATTGCATGTCTCAGAAAGTGATATTGTAAGGGTAAATTGCATCACTAACTGTATTTATATGTTACTGTTTGCCTGCTCTGCTTGTTTGTTAATCTCACTTCATTTCTTACAGAAAGATACTAACAGCCCATTATTAAGTGTTTCAACGACGGGACCTGATTTACAGTGGGCAATTAGGGTGAGTTGATACATTTGTCAAGAACATTCCTGAGAGAATTAAGCTTGTCACCTAAACTTGTGTTTCTTTTCTTTCCCAGCCTGATGAAAAAGGGAAGTTTGAGGCCATTTTTGAGAGTCTGTGCCCTGTAAATGGTCTCCTCCCGGGTGATAAAGTCAGGCCAGTTTTAATAAACTCCAAGCTACCTCTGGATGCATTAGGAAAGGTGAATTTACATTTTGTTGTCAGAGTGATGTAACGCAGAACCCTATTGCAGTCTTTCAAAGTTAACAATTCAAAGAAAGCATGCTCATTTTGGCATTTACATAATGTGTCTGTAGATTTGGGAGCTAAGTGATGTGGACAAAGATGGACAGTTGGACAAAGAAGAATTCACAGTGGTGAGCTGGTGCCTTTTGTTTACTTAAAGTTTTACTGTTTCTCCAGTGTAATTCTGGGAATATTTTTTATTTTTTTGTATATTAATAAATGATCTGATTTCCCATTTTGTAGGCAATGCATCTTGTGTATCGTGCTATGGAAAAGGAGCCTGTCCCAACTGCCTTACCCACTTCCCTCATCCCCCCTTCTAAGAAGAAGAAGTCTGCAGGCTCGCTGCCCGGTGCTGTGGCTGTGCTGCCTGCTCTGTCAGGGTTTGCGGCTGGTCCGGCTGCTCTCAAAGAGACCCTGCGAAGCACTCCTCCTCTGGGCAACGCTTCTCCCTTCAGCACCAGTACCGTCAACCTCTCTCCAAAACTCTCCTTTAAATCCAGCTCACCGGTACGTCGCCTCACTTGCGTTTCTCTTGAGGTGTAGCAACCTCATCACTGCATCGATTAGTCTGTAGGGGGGTGAAAGTGCTCTTTCCAAAAGCTGTGCGATATGGTTAAAATTAATATCACAATATTATTAGGAACACATATCCTATATTGCTATACATCCCAAAATTTAAACTGTTTGAAAGTTGATGAATGTTAATATAGCGTTAGCGCCCAGCCCTTCTTTCTCCATTAAGGAATATATTCCCTATCGTTAAAAAGTTGTGTCGCCTCAAGTCTTGTTTCCTCTGCTCTCAGGATGCTATCTTGGTAGTTTCACACAGCTGCCTCCCTGAATTTGTTGCATGCTTCATCTATTGCTCGAGTGCAGTGTCATGCAGTCCAGTCCAGGGTAATCTTGGGATGCATTAGGATGTCACTTTCTAAATGTGGCTAGTTACTTTCAAGTAGTATAAGATGAAAAACACATTCAATCCTCTACAATACATTTAGTGTTCCGTGACCCTCTCTAAGTAACCGTCGCAAGGGCAGAGCCTTAAAACCAGCATTTTAATTATTGATTATTTTCTGTTGCTAATGGGTGGACTGGTTTTGCCACATTGTTTTGAGCATTGTCCACAGGCCAATGTGTTCGTAACAGGTTTCCTTCAAAGGGAAAAGAAGCGAGACTCTGTCCACACTTGTACTGTGATCACCTGACTGCCGTGACGCTTGTTGTCGCCCTGTTCCTGTTATGCCACTTCTCATTCATGTTCTTTTCTCCTCGTCAGTTGAATTGCCTTTTCCTCAGATTTCTTACCCAAGGCAAAGAATTAGTGTGCATACCAGATTGCTTAGAATGTAATTTTCTTACATATATGTACTGTGTACAATATGTATCACTTGCATTGGCTACAGTAGCTTGAATTTAAACTTGTGTTTTACATGATGGTTGTTTCACCTTTTAGTTTTATTACATAGCATGATGATTTGTCACTGAACTAATTGTAGTAGACGGTTGGTAAAGAAAACAGCACATTTTCATCCAGTATGTTTGGCAAGACTTACAGTGTAGTTCACTTTTACTTTTAACCAGTATGATACACAAATACCACCTGCTATTTAACATAAACAAACAATTGTTCCTGAAGTCTTAGCAGACGTTGTCTCCCTCAGTTAAAATCCCATACTTGTTGTCTTTTGTTCATTCCAGCCAGTGGTGAGCTGGGTGGTACCGGTAGCTGACAGGGAGCGATATGATGACATCTTCAAGAAAACAGACGACGACAATGACGGCCTCGTTAACGGAACTGAGGTCATAGAGATTTTCATGCAGTCCAGTCTCTCCCAGACTATGCTGGCACAGATATGGTGAGACCACGGCTCAGATTACATCATATTTATTTGCAGAGGCTTTCGTACTTTCACAACACACTAAATCATCAATAACTACGTGAAGCTAGTCTCACAGTTTATCTCTATAGCTCCACCTGGTGGACAGGTTGAATCATTACAACTCTCCCAGAAAATGGGTGCAATATCAGAAAGAAAACAATATTAAAGTGTGCTATAACAAGGCGTTGGCAGGCCTTTAGATGAAGGTGAGCTCAGAGGACATTGTTGTCAGAAGATGTTTGGTATCTTTTCTCAGGAAGAATACAGTATCTTATCTTTTGAGTGAAGTCTCTCCTTTCTGCAGGGGACTCGCTGACACCAAACAGACGGGCAAGCTGAACCGTGAGCAGTTCTCTCTGGCCATGTACCTGATCCAGCAGAAGGTCACTAAAGGCGTAGACCCTCCTTCCTCTCTAACCCCAGACATGATTCCCCCATCAGAAAGGACTGCAGCTTCAGCAGCGGGCCCTGTGAGTCCTGACTTCATCCCACAGCAACCACTGCTTCATCTTTTAATTGCCCTGTTTATTGAAATTCTTCCAAAGCTTTTTTTTCTTTTTGCTTTCGCTTTTTTTGAGCTCTCTTCTGTCCTCTCTAACAGATTTATTCGGGGCTTATGTCAGCTGCGAGGCCTGAACTTGCTGCACTTGCTAATATGCGCAGAGTGAGTAGTTGAGCTTTGTTTCACAAGGTGGCGCTTTTGTTCTGTCATATTCTCTGTCTCAGTCTGAAGCACTATAGGTGCAGACGGGACCATGTGCCTCATATTACCGTATTAGTTTCCCCTAATGATCTTCCCAATAAACGGGAACACAGAATTTATTAGACCTAGTTTACTCTTATATATCTGTCATGTCTTGGATTTTCCCCAAATTTGAGGACTGCCACCTGCTGCAGTTTCCTCATCATTGGTGTTCAAAGCAACCAACGTCAACCAACGTCCAGCTAGAGTATAGTTACTTAATAATGTATGTAAAGCAGGTAGTGTCACCTACTTTACTGGTGTTTACAAAAATAGAATATCCAGGGCATTGTAGAGGCATTGCATCTATAAACAAACATCATAAAAAAAATTCAATCCAAAGATGTGTTTGTAGAGTCAAGTTCTTACATTTTTGTGTCAGACCATCAAAAGCTTAAAGTGTAGCAGCTGTCTGAACCAAGAGGAGAGGATTCTGGGACACTGAAGGTGAAAGGCTTGAACACTGATATATAAGCCAGATTTCACCAGAGTTTTTTGTATTCTCTTGTCTGTGTGCATTTCTCCTCATTCATGTATTGTCTGGAAGCACTAACCCCCCCCCCCCCCAAGCTGTGTGAGGTTTTTTTGTATTTCCTTCCTGTGTCTTTTGTTTTGTTGGCCGTATCGGCAGGGAGCTCCCCCCACTCTGCGTACCATTCATGTCCCCTCTGCGCTCCTTCTCCCTCCTTTTTGTCCCATTTCCCTATCTTTTTTACATACTCCCTCTTGTCCCCTCTTTTCCGTGTCCATTTTCTTTGTCCTACCTTCCGTCGTCGTCACTCTTGTCGTCTTTGTTCTCACCTTCTGTCACCCTCACTTTCATCCGTCGTACTTTCTTACCCAACTTTCCTCCTCTCTCTCACTGGTCTTCCTCTGCGTCTCGTCTCAGGACAGCACCAGCTCCACGGGATCGGCCGAGCTGACGGGCATCAAAGAGCTGGATGACCTCAGCCAGGAAATAGCTCAGCTGCAGAGGTGAGTAGCAGGAGGACAGCTTTGTTCCTCTTCCTCTGAGAAAAAGGAGGGTAGGTTGTAGTGATGTGATGTTCAGGTTCAAAGCTCTTCAACTCTTATTAGATTGTTTTTATTCCAGGAGCGACTGTCACCATGGAGCCTTAGTCGGGGCCTTTCAGAGACTATTTGACAGTCAGAGCCTTCATTATCAAGTGGACTCAGAATACTGATCAAACTGTTGCTGTTGCTCATGCAATTTACTAATGATTTACTATTTATTTATTTTGCCATTCATCACCTTGTTAAGTGGGAAACGCCATCAGTCAAGGGTGTTAAAAAGACACCAAAATTATTGACACAGTTTTGTCTTTTTAAGTTTTGCCAACATCGGCTTAGTGAGGAAGTACTAACACCATTTGTTACTTAACGTCCTCCTCTCCCATGTCGTCCACCTACAGAGAGAAATTCATTCTGGAGCAAGAGATCAGAGAGAAGGAGGAAACCATCAGACAACAAAATAGTGACGTTCAGGTGAGGCTGAGCCAAAATCATTGTCAAGTTGTCTGTTGACCATTTCACTGATATTTGACCCTTCAACAATACAAAGTTCAGGGGCTCAGACAAACGTTGGCTGCCTGTAAATACATAGTGTAGTATAGTGTAAGTACAAATCTGTAAACAAAGCAAACTTATGAATCCTTTTGATTTATTTTTTAAGTGTTGTACATTTAGAGACCCACTCAAAAAGATGGTAAATTTAATCACTATTGTGTGTGTGTGTGTGTGTGTGTGTGTGTGTGTTTGATGGACCCTCAGGACATGCAGAGTGGATTGGACAGAGAGAGCAGCAGCCTGCAGGACCTGGATTCGCAGAAGCAGGATGCCCAGGAGCGTCTGGAGGAGATGGACCAGCAGCGCTCCAAGCTGGAGGGAATGCTCAACGACGTCAAGCAGAAGTGCCAGGAAGAGTCGCATATGGTTAGAGACTCGGCTTATTAAAGCAGGAAATGCTGTTATATTTTTGTTATTGGTAATATATACATGCGGTTGTGGATAATGCTTTGGTATTGTTGGGAGTATGATACCAGATGTCAATCAAATTATGAGGTCAGTTGAGGTCGAGGTTTGTTTCAAGGGAAATGATGCACCTTATTTCTTTTAACAAAGTCATAGATAGTGATTTGAAATACAGTCTTTTGCTTTCACCCTCCAGATTTCGTCGCTGCAGAGCCAGATCCGCTCTCAGGAGAACGACTTCCAGAGCCAGGAGGAAGAAATGAGCCGCACCAAGACGGACCTGAGCCGGCTGCAGGATGAGGAGGCCCTTCTCGAGCAGAGTCTGCTCTCTGGCCGGGTCCAGCTGGACAGCATCACTAAGTCTCTCAAAACCACTCAGGAAGAGATCAACCAGGTCAGTGCAGGCAGAGTAACTCCAGGTCACATGAGGATGTTCTGCCACTTATGGCCAATAAGCTGTGGAGGTCCAATCATAATACTGGCTTTCCTGTGGGGGGGTAGACAGGTTTGTATGTTGATGCACTATCTGTGGAATTTAGACTTGTTTTGTGTTGCTGGCGATGTTTTTTTATAACGCAGCAATCTCACTCGGGAAACATTACTTTTACTTTAATGACCTTCGTGCTACAGTATTTTAGTTGTGATCAACTTAACCACTAGCCACCATTTACATAAATTGCTAAATCCGGTTCAGGTCTCAATCTGCCAAAGACTTGACATTTGAGGCATTTTTTTGTTTTTTAGTTAGTGAAGGTAAAGCCATGCCGGATTGGACTTCTGCAGAATAAATCCCATTCAAGTAATAATGTGAAAAATATTATATTTTTCTTTTGAAAACACCTTTTTATTTGAAAATGTGGCGTTAAATCACAGTGGCTTATCCATTTCTGCCGGGTGGGACATGGCCAGTGTTGACACCTTTTTAAACTGGAGACAGTAAAGGAAATCCAATTATTGTGTTTCTATGGTTTAAACTTGTGTGTGTTTTTTTAGGCTCGCAGTAAGCTGTCGCTGATCCAGGATAGCCAAAAGGAGGTGACCAAGACCATTGAGCAGTACAACAGCGCTTTGAGCGACATCAACGGAGGAAACTCAAGCAACCTGCCGGACGTAGGCGAAGGGTTTGCAGAGAGGCAGAACGGAGGTTTCAGGAGTGCGGTGAGGAGATCACGAATACATCCTACTTTTCACCTCAAGAATTTATCCTAGAAGTCAGTAACTTCATTTTCCTTTCGTCCTCATGAGAAACACTTTTCACATCACCAACTCCCAATGTGCCTGTTTCACGACCACTCGGGTGTCAGAGGAATGCAGATGTACTCATGAAACCTTTGTTTCCCAGTGTTGTAGTCCCAAAATAACTGAGTTGCTATATTTTCTTGCCTTATGCCATATATGCTGGAACATAGTGACGACTAAAAACATCAGTGTTTTGCTGAATTGTGTGTCAACAGTCAAGTCTTGACTTTTTTTTTTTTTTTTCTGAATGCATTCATCAGGACGACTCTTTCAAGTCAAGGATTGCCATGTTCAACAACAGCAGTGCCAAGGAGCCTGCAGCAGACCCCTTCCAGACAGAGGACCCCTTCAAGTCCGACCCTTTCCAAGGTCTGAATACCTTCTGTATCTCTTTTATTATTTTCTCCTGTATTTATGAAAGGCTCATGGTTGTTCCCTCCTCTGCCAGCTTTAATTTGATTTAATGTGTTCCTGTGATTAAGCATTTCCATTAAATACCTGAAATGTACTTGCATTATAGATGCCGAGTTGTGGAAATGTATGTTCCAGCCTGTTTCCTGCTTGTGGAAAACATCGATGATTATTTCTTCTGTAGAGGCTGAAGACGATTGACGTCCACAGCCAGCTGCTCTCTTCTCACTGTCTTTTCCTTTTTCTAGATCCGTTTGGAGGAGATCCTTTCAGAGAAAGCGACCCCTTCAAAGGCACCTCACCTGAAGACTTCTTTAAGAGAACTGATAAGTCAAACCTGTTTGGATCCTCAGAGCCCTTCAGCAGAAAGCCCACTCCCCCGCTCAAGGTATCAAACGCCGCCTTCTTTTTACCGCTCAATTGATCATGGTTCTTTTGTATGCAATGTGAGAAAACCAATGCTCTTTTGTTAAAAATGAAATATGCTTTTCAATGTTAAATGTTATGCTTCAGCTGTTGGTGCTGATAGAAACAAGCTCTGACACGTCTTCACCATTGTACTGGAGAAGCAAACACAAAGAGAGATTTCTGGTGGCTGTGCTGACATTGTCAGTGTTTAATGGAGATCCTTTGAACAGCTTACTTACTCTACTTGTGCTTTGCTTATTTGTTTTTCTCAGCCAAGTGCCCTCAGCAGTGGGGACCCTTTCCCATCACACAGCCAAAAACCAGGTACGTTGCTGGTCTCAAGCATCGATCAGAGCACAGAGAGAGATTTTACTCTTCTCCGCTGTAAATGTAATGATTGACCCAAGGTCGCATTTGTTTGTGCCAAAACATTTAATTGTTTCTCGACTTCTTGCCATCATAAAGCTTCTCAGTTTAGCTTTTATTGTTTTTCCAGTTCTCTATATTGTAGTCCATACTTTGCTTACTAACTTAAGACAGGTTGATAAAGATTCTATGCTTTTATTTGTTCTTGTCAGTCTTATTGCAGTAAGGCAGGTGATGGCCCTGCAGTTAACCGTACTGTATTTTGGCTTATTGTCATTTTGTCAAATAAAAGCACAACTGCATAGTTGTCTCTGTACTATATAAGTGCAGATTTCCCAGAATGAGACACTGAACTCTATTAACTGACATCTGAACGTTTTAGTTGTTAAAAACAAGTCTCAAACACTCATTCTTCGCCATTCTGGGTGACGTGTTGGATTTAGATTTTATTTTTGGGGTGCATTGGGGGCAAACAATTTTTACTCGCTGTGGCTTCAATTTTTCCTGTGGTTCAGGGCTATTTTTAGTCGAGTACCTACGCATTTAACTGCTGGCCAACTAAAAATACTCCCCCCTACCCTGGAAAAACAGGAGGCTTGCAGGAGCCAAGCATAATAGAAACTCTGTGACTGCTGGCCCTTCTCTACTAGAATACACTGCCACTCCTTTAACCAGTTCTCTACCGCCTCTGTCCCGTCTTTATATCTGCTGCTATTGAACCGCTTTGCCTCGTTCGGTACGGAAGTTGTTTTAAGTTAGTGGCTAACTCTGGTCGATGCTCTGCCATGCTACACACCTTCAGAAGAACACAGAGGCAACTGTAGACCTGAGCTGAGTTACTGTGCGTAAAAAAAAAAACACACACTGCCGACTTCACATGAATGGGGGTCTCTTGTGGTTGCACACTCACAACAAACATATTCTATTACCATATTTAGTTTTTTCACTGTAACCAGCTGCAGTTTGCTGTTTTTATCATTAAGCGGCAGACCGCTGAGCTTCAAAACAACCCGGGCACAGTTCTGGTTAACAGTGCGCCAACTGACGCCTTTAATTATCTGATCAGATGCACACGTCAGGTTAAACAAAACCTCTGCTTTCCAGGATTTCTTTTGCGATTTGTCGTGGAAAATGAAACGGTCATGGCCACACTCTCCTCTCTGGAAATAGCATGCAGGCCCTTTCAGAATAAACAAGGTGCCGGGATGATTTCTGAGTCTGAACTTTAGTTTCTGCCCTTTTTTTCCGTAAATGGTATCAAATGTTCCAAATGCTTTTCAATGTACTCTTGTCACAGAGGCGTTTGGGACAGTGGACCCCTTCGGAAGCAACTCTTTTGGTAGCAAGGGGGGTGGATTTGCTGACTTTAGTCAGATGTCAAAGGTAAGCTCTGGAGACTCTCGGAGTTATGAATCAGTTGCACCATAAAGCATCGTTTTCCATTCGGCTGTAGAAAGCTGCGTTGTTAATTTTACTCTCATCATGATTGATGACTATTTTTTTTATCTGCTAATTTATCACATTTATAAAGTCTTTCTGGTATAAAGCCAGAGGCATTAGATCTGGGCTGACATTTCTGTTAGAGTCATCATTTCGATTTTTTTTTTATTTTTATTTTTTTTGTTTATTCCCTTGTGTGTGAACAGAAGTCGGACAACCCTGTCCTCCCGTCAAAGAAAAATGTGCCTAACCGGCCTGCGCCTCCCTATGGTAAGCCCTGACTTTATGTTTGTGTGTGTGTGTGTGTGTGTGTGTGTGTGTGTGTGTGTGTGTGTGTGTGTGTATGCTTGAACATTACTGTGCTTACGGCTTATTTGAATGATTCAGTGGTGCTCATATTTACTATTTAATGTTGCTTTAAATCAATAAAGTTCATCATGCCAATGTGAATCACAAGGTTGGCGGTTCGATCCCCGGCTCCTCCTTTCCGCATGTCGAAGTGTCTGTGAGCTGCACACTGAACCCCGGAGTTAAACGCAGATGTCAAATTCAACTGTAATGTAAAAAAAAAAAAAATACAATTGAAGTTTCATTAGCTCTTTACTACTTTTTGACGGTTGCAAATTGTCACATAAATATCGTGGCAGCAATGTTTTTGCAGTGCTCATTGTGATTGACTGTTTTCCTCTAAAATAACTACTTCCCCGTTGAGCTGTGAGGGTGCAGAGAAAGCAGTTTCTTCTTTTGAAGTTGTAAACAGGAAAGCTGTTGGTAGAGGTATGGCACTATGCTTTTACACAGAGATGAGCCGTTGTCAGTGTTATAAAGGGGAAATAGCTGGTGTGAAGTTAAACTTGTGAATCGTGGGATGAGAGTGAGAGCTACTTTTCAATGGCTTTTGAATGAATTTAGCCTCGTTTTATCTTCTTTTTTTTGTTGGCGTGTATGTTAAGACACACACTACCCACAGGCCGTGCCCAGCACATGCCCTTCCGCTGTGACCTTGCACTTATTCCTTTAGCAGAAGCCACAGCGTGAGAAAGTTGGTGTTCCCCTTTGCCAACCGCACACAGAAGGGTAGAGATGAGTAACCACAGTTAGCCAGCAAAGCTAGCCCCAGAGATGTGCCTCATAAGAGATGGACAAGTGAAGAGCCCACAATGCAGTTTGGTTGCGTAAAGATGGAGCTTTTATTTCCTTGAAGTGTTTCCGCAGATGCAGCCTTTGTGGCGTTGGTGCACAAAGTTCGAGAGATGGAATAATCAGGGCCACGCTATATTAACGCTATTCTAGGAAATGTGATCAAAGCTTACAGTAGACAAGGGTTTGTCAGTCTTTTGCAATTATGTGTTCCATAAAAGCAACACTGTGCTTGTTAGGCTTCAATGCATCAGTGAGCCTTACTCAAAAATGCGGTTAACACCTTTTTTTTTTTGAGCCAATATATCTCCCCAGGGTGATTACTCTGCATGGCACAAGCTTAAAGCTGTTGCTTCCTGTGAAAAGTGAAGCAACACAATATTTGCACATTAGTCTTTAAGGTGTGAGCTTATTTTCCCAAGGACGCTGCCTGTTAGCTTCTGAAGTGAAGGCAGTAGTTTAGTGGGTTGTCTAACATGGATTTTATGTTTATTTGAATGTCTTCCTTCTCCAGGAGGTACGCTCAGTTTGACAGCCGTTCCACAGCAGACAGTACAGACTCTTTTGTTACGACACACTCAAGTACACCATCAAAAAACTGTCCTTTGGTTTTTGCAGATTTTGGTTCTGTAAGTGTAGTTAGCAATTTTCTGATGGGTCAACAATCGTGGTGCTGCTGAGCTGCTGATCTCATGATCTCACCCGTCAGATTTGAGAGCTGAAGGCTCAGAGGTGTCAGCTCTCCACCTCACACCGGGACATCAGCAAGCAATCCTCAGTGCTTATTGGCTGTTGACTAATAACTGATGGAACATCTGAGAGCGTTTTTAAGGGCTTGGTGTGTAAGGAAATGAAATGTCTGCATGGCTGACTTGGACAGTCCTCGTTACTTGTGTCCGCCGAGTCGATTGTTGCCTCCGTCGGCCGGGTAAAGGGGCTCTTACGTGCTTGCTGTCGTCCCTGGCTTCAGCCTTTGGCAGGAAGTCAAGATTAAAGAGTTTCAGTCAGCGAGTCGGTGAACTTGCCCGGTCAGGTAGCACTTGAGGAGCATTTTTCAACTCTTGAAGTACAAGCTAAAGGCTTTATTGCTGTCGAAGCTTGATGTGCCTCAAAGGAGAGCACAACAGAGTAAATCTGCCTCTTTGTCCTCCTCCTTCCGCTTCTTTGCCATCGTGTATAGCCTAACGGCTGTGCATGCTCTCCAAGTGCAGAGAAGATGCATGGCAGGTTTTTGTGTCAGGTTTGTATCATTTGTCTTGCCAATAACTCATTTTATCCCTCATGACATCTGTGAAAGGGATTTGAGTTGTTTTTTTTTATCGAGCTCTTTATTGTAATTTTTGCAGGATCTGAATATGTCAAGGTAAGACTGTCTAAAGGTGTGGTGGTCAACCTTTTGCATGTGAAAAACCCGTCCGCACTGCATAATCCGAGCAATTGTCACTGTGTTGTGTAAGAAGCTTTTCGTGTTGCTTTCTTGGCCGTCCAAGTGAAATCTTAAACGTCTGTAGTGTCGCAGTTGTTTTTCTCTGAATCCTTTCAGCTATGTTTGTCGTAGCTTTTGACGTTCTGCCCTATTAAGAAGCATTTGATTTCAAATTTGCATCCACCGTTTTTGCTCTTTGCCCTCGTGACTTCTCTCTATTTATATTGACATTCCAGCCTGCGTCTCTGCATTGTTTCGGTCCACATCTAATGTTTGCTTCTCTGCTCTAGTTTGGAAGTGAAAACCAGCAGCTGGAGTGGGTCAAGCGGGAGAGCGAGCGTGAGGAGCAGGAGAGGCTGCGGAGGCTGCGGCTCCAGGAGCAGCAGGACCTGGAGCTGGCGATCGCTCTCAGCAGGGCCGACATGCCCAGCGCCTGACCGGCCGGGCCTGACTGCATCTTTTTTTGACCTCTTCCGTCCGCCTTACGGCCCTCCGTCCGCAGGCTCGTGACATCTGCACCAACACTGGCCCGTCATGACTCGCAGCCCCTGTTACCAATTTGTGTAAGAGACCAGTGTTTCTCCAGCCGTGGCTGGACTCGTGTCATACGACTCCACATTTAGCAACCAGTTACGGTTCATTGCTCCCAAACTACATGACAACTGTAATCAAGGACAATACGGAGCCGCTTGATTTAAAGCCGGCTTCATCCTGCAAGAACATAGCGATTTAACCCACACCAGCAGGCTTCTCCACTACAACCCAACATCTAGCTCCATATCTTGTTATGGCTAATCACCCTGCCTTATCCAAAAGCCTTTCTGTTGCAAGAAACCAACCTTTTAAAGAATATTTTACTGTTTTATTTATATACAAAAGCAATGAATCTGTTGTGTATGAAGTACTTGTAAAATGCACTGTATGAACAGTTTTTTAACTATCCTATAGAACCTAGAAAACGACATTTGTATTGAAAGTCAAACCAGATGGGTTAACTTCTCTGGTGGCCTACGATCGCTTTGTCCAATTTCCGACTTTTTTTTTTTTTTAAGAAACTTCATCTACTGTAAATATTGTTGGATGGTGGTTTTATGTACTATCCCTAGAAAAGACCATATTTAAAAACAAGCCTGTCCTACAGGACTGGAGCTTTGTGATGTGATCATCTATGACATGCTTTAGGTTTTTTTTAGGTGTTTCTTGCCATTTATGCCTGCGTATGGAATATTTATGGCCTTAAAGTACAAGGCTTGAAGACATTTTTTTTTTTTTTTAATATACTCAAACCTTTAACCGGGATCTACGTGTCAAAGTAGACATATGATGTTTAGGAATCCCTAACAAGCATTTAAGTCCAAACATAGCTTTGGTTAAATATAGTTTAGCCCCGTATCATCAGTTGAGGTCTTCCTTTCTGATGAACAAATACACCTGATGTCTACAGCCTGTGCGTGTCAGATGGTTTGTCATTGGTTGCCTTGTTGTTAGGCCCAAACAACTTGCCCTCCCATACAACTAAGAGCCTCTATGAAATGGAAGTAGTGTAAATCTACATTGTTTATACTGGTGCTGTTACATTTAGTTGGATCCTTTCTACTGCTTCACACTACCACTGATGCTCGAGGACATCTGCTTCTAATTTTGTGCTTTTCTCTCAACACTCAAATCAACCTTTGGATCTTTTTTTTTTTTTTGTGGATTTTGTTTTTTTTTTTTCCTCATTTTATTAATGTCTTATACTCCAGTTAAAGTACATTTGTATAAATGACTTAAAATATTGCATCCTTGTAATTATATTAAACTAATCAGGTTTATTCGGCACATAATGTATGCACTGCATATTCCAGACCTTACTGGACATGTACAGAGTGATGGCGCCTTATTTATCAACATATCAACATTGTAATGTTAAACAGTATGTATGTGATTATTTAAAAAAAATCACTGTAATGTCTTTTAATTGAATAAAAGTGATTTTTAACAGTAAGTTTAAAGGTAAGTGTCATCTTTTTAAATCAGATATTGTAGCGACACCAGAAATATGTGCGCTAGTTACACGTGACGGGTGGTCCTACCTATCTATCTATCTATCTATTTATTTTGTAAAAACAAAGCAGCGATAATTGGAGCGGTTGTCTACTGTACAGTAGGTGGTCTCGAGGAACAGTAGCTCAGCATTGCACAGACATGTTATTAAGGAAGGCAATGGTCAACTCTATTCTTAGGTCTTAATCTGATGCTTTGATAAAATGTACAGCACATAGTTGTACCGACATGAATACAAGTTAGTGTTTATATCGTGTGTTGATATTGGGGCGGGGGGGAAATGAGAGTAAGCATTTGCATCTCCCGCTGCAGATATTTTTAACCTTCTGTGGACTTCCTCTTTTCAAACATGATAAATTCTAGTAAAGTGTTCAACACATGTAAGTCACTGTCTGTGTGTACATTGTGTTCCACATCAACCGAAGAGATGCGATAACTGTGACACCACTTTTGAGGAAGGGTGTGGTTTTATCACATTTTTTTAAGTTTTAAAATTGTCACATGGAGTATTGCGTCAATCACCGACCACACATTCGAAGAATAATGTTAAATATTGATCTACTTTTCAAAATGCCATCTGGCTTTGATGCATATACTCAATGCAGCCTTTGATGCGGGGGAGACAAATGCTCACTGACACCATGCAGACATGATATGCACGGACTCGGATACTTTGAAACTGTGCACAGTGACTCTGTGTAATTGTAGTATTAAGGCCCTTTGATGTCCCGCTATAATTTCTATCCATCAGAAAGGGAGTCTAAGGGTTCCCTGATGAGGGTTTGCTGTGCCCCTCTGTCCAGACGGCTCCCAGCTCACTCTGTAATTATGGAAATGGGGTGTTTGTGTTTATAGGCTAAGCCCACAAGCGGCTGTCCTTCTGTGTCTTGCAGCTGCAAAACATCACAGTGGAAATCAAGTACTCTTGTTTTAAAATTAAAGTGGGTATACGATATAACCTATTTAGTGTAACTGATCTGATGGTCCGCAGGCCTGCTGCAGCTACTTAGACTGGTTGTAAACACAGTAAACCTGTTGACTGGGTGGATGTGGTTCATTGAACTAAATGTGTGAACAAGATGTATCTGAAATGACAGCATGAAAAGTAAAGGGCTCCCCAGTCAAATGTTCAATTTCATTGTTTTTAATATTTACAATAAATATACATTTTACAGTATAAAAAACATATTTATATAAATTTAAGTGAAAAATAATGCACAGGACATCAAGCCCTGATAGCGAACAGAGGGGCTGGATCCAGGAGTTTCACGCGAGAAGACAACAGCAACTCCAAATAGGAATGATCAATAAAATAAAGCAGTTCCGGCCATTCAGACATTGAGGCAGTTTAAATAAAACATTGTCTCTGCACATGTCAGGCAACAATGTGCATTTCACCCCTGTCAATAAGAACATGTACTGTTTCGTGGCCATGTCGTTCCATCACTAAGAGTTTTACAGTAGCAGTCATAGAAAGGCACTTTTGTGTCAAACACAGCGTTCCAGTTCTGTCAAAGAAGAGTAGTATATATACAGGGCCAGCCCCTTCTTGGTCTGCCTGTTGTAAAGCAAACAAAGCTTTTCTAAAGCTTTTATTGAACCAAAGTAGTACCAGCTACATTATTAGAATATAAAACCACTAAAACTTTTTCATTCAATATTACATATAAAAAAGACTTTAGTCATTTGGACAACAATTTAAATAAAAAATATATCAGTTGAATCACAATAGAAAAGAAAAGAAACACAGCACCCTCCCAAGTCTTTATGTGGGCTCCTTCACATGTGTCTCTTCATGTGAAGTGCCAGGTGGTCAGACCTGGAGAAGGCGCGTTCACACAGGTGACACTGGAAGGGCCTGTGTCCGGTGTGTTTGCGGAAGTGACGGGTCAGCTCATCGGAGCGGGCGAATTTCCATCCACAGCCTTCCCAGCTGCAGTGGTATGGCTTCTCACCTGCGTACACAATACAAATGGGAGATTATTAGTAAAAAGAAGACATGGTTTTGAGCTATGCAAGTATGTGCGTAATTGCGCACACATATAGTCTTATTTATCATGATGGATATGGGCTCAGACTTACCAGTGTGAGTTCGGAGATGTGCCTTCAGGTGTGAGCTCTTGGTGTAGGTTTTCCCGCAGCCAACGTAGCTGCATGTGTGCGACGCCGTGCGCTTCCGTGGCCATGTGCGCCGTCCTCTCTTGGGTTTGGACTCCAGCAGCTCGAGGGGAGAGGAGGGTGGTGTGAGCATCACCCTCTGCGCGCCTGGCTGCAGGCTGAGACCTTCGTCGTACATGCCAAAGGCAGCATGCGGAGCGTGGTAGGGCATTTGCATCTGGGGAGCCTGCGAGTGGTGTGGGAAAGCCGCTGGTGTGTGATACTTCTGTGAGTAGTTCATGGGCTGGCACAGCTGTGACTGGCAGTCCGAAACTCCCTGGTTGTCGGGGCTGAGAGGCGGGGTCATGCTGCTGACTGCCCGCGGGGAGATGGCCACTCGGGGCTGCTCGAAAGACATCATGCACGAAACGTTCCCTTCTTGCTTGATTTTGCTGCAGCTCTGGGGCACCATGCCCAAAACGGGGCCGTAGCCGTCCATGGGGGGCTCCACTTTGATCTCCTGGCGGGGAAAATGAGCCGTGTTGACATAAAATCTCCCCTGAACGCAGGGGTTGCGCGTAATGCCATAGTTGTTGGTTCCTTCGGAGCGGAGCAGTTCCGTCATGAGGCTGGCGCCGTACGGCGGCGGCGGAGAGCGGTGGTCATCTGCTGCGTAGGATGGCACCGAGGTCCCCGTCATGTACATGCTGAGGTCGGCTGTGCTCACAAACTCCGCCGCGCTGTCTGAGCCAGTGGTGTTGGCGAGAATAAAATCCAGATCCAAGTAATTACTCAGATCCTCGTCGTCCCTTTTGCTGTGATTGTCCAGGTTGTGTACCATTTCAAGCATGGAGCAGCTGGCGGAGACTAATTTGTCCGTGTCTCCTTTCCACCTCTGAAAGAATAAATAGATGTTTTTAGATATGATGTTTCTGTGAAATAAAATACTGTATATTGCATCTGATATCCAACTGGAGACGTAATTCAGCCAAATACTTAGTTTTCTTTTCTTAAAATGAGGAAACATGTTATTTTCTTGTTTTCCCCAAAGCATATAAGTTATTTCGAACGGTTTGCTAAGATAATAGTACAAAACGAGTGAAAGAAAGTGACATATAATCCAAATCAAACATATCCACAGACATTGAAACACAATACAATATCATTTTTAACTCACGTTTTCCCATGTTTTTTCTCTTTGGTTTGAGAATGTCGAAAATGACGGCAGCATCACTCCGGATAAGGCCATCGTTTGGTGAAATAATAACTATATCTCTTGTCAAAGTCGCGTTTAGATTGAGCGAAAGCCGCACCAGATACTGTGCGCCTATTTCACTGTCGCTCTCCACAGCTGCGCTCCAAAAGACATGAACGAGTGTAAAAGTGGAAGGAGGTCCTCCAAACTTTATAAGTCTCTAGCCCGAGTGCGCCTGGCCAATTGTGAGAGCTCAGGAAACAACGTAAAGTTTGTTAAAATTAGCTCTTTATAAAGCGGCTCCTGCAGGCAGTGGGGCTCAGTGCTTCATATGACAGTGGACGCAGTGCAGAGGAGCCTATAAAGTGTAGGACCTCCCCCACACACTGACGCAGGCACTCAACAGACCAGCCCCCTGAGCTGGAGATTGGAAAAAAGTTGTAGTCAAATTACAAACACGAGAAATATAGCAACCATACTTAATATGCTGAAAAGAACAAGCCAAGATGCACCAACAACTTAATATTACAGACTGTCAGTGCTTCAGTTAATCATCACAACAAACGAGATATAGCTTTTTTTGATGAACAGTAATAAAAAATATAATTAGACTCAGAGTGGGTTAAAACTTTGAAAGGAAAAACACAGACTAAGATATTTTGTAATAAAATACAAGCGTTTAATAGCACTTGAAACATAACACACAAACATATTCCAAAACATCAAAATGTATGCAGCATATTGGATCCGACAATATATTTGTACTTTTCCATGAGACTGCATCATCTATTGTCAAGTCTCAAAATAAACAGTTTTTGTCTTGTTTTCTATTCATTATGACAAACACTCTGAAACATATACCGTGCTACCTTCATGTTTTCAAACTGGTGTCTCTGAAAGTTAAACAATGAATAATGCAATACACTTTCTATAAAGATCCAGATATTCCGCCTCCACCTGTTTGGCGCGTCTCGCTCCCGGCTCATTATCATTAAGGGAAGACCGTTTTGTTCTCTCACAGCAGGCTTGTCCAAACAGGCGCCAGGGTCGTCTGAAACGATTTTCACGGCGTTTTAACGCTCTAACCACTCATGATGTAAACATGATTTAAAGGTTAACGTCCTGTTGTTTCATCCATTCAAGTGTAAATGACGGACGAGGGGGCTGCGGTGTCGATTGGAGTCAAATTTGCATCACAACTCGGGCCTGCTTGTTGCTGTTTCTGCTGAGAGATCTGGTTTCTGACGCGAAGACAGTGGGATTGTTTTCTCAGCAGGATTCCTCTGGCTCCAGAGGTCATCAGGCCAACTGTAACTCTGCTCTAAATCATTTGCATCCAATTCTGAAATAGCCTAAATGTTAAAATGTATTGTTTTTTAATGTTTTTTTAATGTAAAATCACTTGGGTTTTGATTGTCAGATCACTTCCTCAAGCAATTTATGCATAAAATCCCAAATAAATAAGAAATAAAGGGACCGCAGACGCATGTGATTGCGACACACATTCATTTCTGTTGTATTAAATCTCACAATCATCAGCAGTGGTGGACGTATTCACCTCATTTACTTCAATACAAGTGTAAAAATATTCCAATACAAGTATAAGTATTGGATTACAATTTTCACTTGATTTAAAGTATTATCAACTAAATTTGGTAAGTATCAAAAATAAAAAGGCATATTGCAGGCAGAATGGCACATGTTAGCACTATACTTTCATATT